CTGACTCAAGACTCCGCCTATACCTATCCCGGAGGCATCACATTCAACTTCAAAGACTTTGGAAAAGTCGGGAAGATGCATGATAGGAGCCTCCGTCATTCGCTTCTTGACCAACTTAAATGCCTAGCCGCTTCTTGTGTCCAATGAAACTCCCATTTCTTCATGCACTTCGTGATAGGTGCCATAATAGTGTTAAACCCCTTGATAAAGCGACGATAAAATGTAGCTAAGCCGTGAAAGCTCCTGACGTCATGAATAGCTTTAGACTCAGGCTAGTCAATAATCGCCTGAACTTTAGCAGGGTTAGTAGATACCCCTGTCGAAGAGACAATGAACCCCAGAAAAATGACTGTATCGGTGAAGAAAGAGCACTTCTTGATGTTAGCATACAAATTAGTTGCACGAAGGACAGAGCAAACTTGTGTGAGGTGTTCACGGTATTGCTCCTTAGTCTTACTATAGATGAGGATATCATCAAAGTAGACAACAAGAAACTTACCCATAAAAGGTCGAAGAGTTTGTGTCATTACCCGCATAAAGGTACTTAGCGCATTACTTAGCCCAAAAGACATGACTAGCCATTCATAAAGGCCATCTTTCGTTTTAAACGTGGTCTTCCACTTATCACCTGGGCGAATTCTAATCTGATGGTATTCACTCTTCAGATCGATCTTCGAAAAGATTTTCGTGCCAACCATCATATCTAGCATATCATCAAGTCTGGGAATGGAAAAATGATACTTTACCGTGATCCTATTGATAGCGCGACTATCCACACACATTCTCCAAGAGCCATCTTTTTTTTGGCGTCAATAGGGCGGGGACAGCACATGGGCTTAAACTCTCACGAATGAATCATTTGTGAAGGAGGTCATCCACTTGTCTTTGGAGTTCAGCGTGTTCGGTAGGATTCATCCTATAATGAGGCAAATTTGGAAGGGATGCTCCTAGGACGAAATCTATGGCATGTTGAATGTCCCTTAGATGAGGTAGATGATCAGGTGGGTCCTCCGAAAAGACATCTCGAAACTCCTGAAGGATCGACCGGACTTCAGCAGGGTTCTTTATCGTGGAGTTAGATGAAACCTCCATGACTACCAAGGCGAACACAATTGAGGTAAACACAATTGAGTCACCAACAAGTGTACACTCAAACTCCGTAGGACTAATGATATGCAATCCATTTCGTTCCACACTCTTCTTCGTTTCCAGTGAGCTAACAGGCCTTGGGGATAGTGGGTTAAGGTGAATCTTCTTTCCATTAAACACGAAGGAGCAGGAATTGGATCGACCATAGATGGTTACATCTAGGTCAAATAACCAAGATCGTCCCAAGATGATGTGCCCGACATCCATTGAAATGACGTTACACCATATATGGTCCTTATACTCCAGGAACTGGATAGGGACTAAACAACGCTCCTTAACAACTATAGAAGAGATATCAACCCAAGAGATGCTGTATGGTTGAGGTTGAGGAACTGGCTTCAACCCTAGACGGGATATAGTAGCCATCGAAACCGCATTAATGTAGCTGCCACTATCCACGATAACTTTATAGCCCTTATTATTAATCTTGATGTAAGTGCGGAAGATGACATGACGACGTCAATCATCGGCATCCCTAGACTGGGTAAGAGTGCAACGGACGACACCAACTCTAGGCGTATGTGAAATAAGGGGACTAGCCTGAATACAACCTAAGAAGGTATCTTCACTATCCTCCAAGTCATCAAACTCTTCTAACTTAGGCTCATAAACCTGGTCCTCTAGTGGCTCGTCGACTATACCTTCACGCTCTTCGATAACTAGGGTTCGACTAGGACACTTAGAAGAAATGTGACCAAAACCCTTACAGTTGAAGCATTGCAAGCGAGAGGACATTCTTGAAACCTCAGAACCTCTACCTTTGCTATCCGATGTAGGGGTAGTATTAGAAGGAGGAGGTCCTAGAATAGACTTAGGGGATGGAGTGGATGCAGAAGAGGTTGCAGTGCGGGAGTCACTACGATTTCTATACGGTGTCCTAGTCACTAACTAGTAACCCGAACGAAAAAGTAGGCATGGTCAAGAGTGGTGACGCCTCTAAGGACAAGCTCATGTCTAAGATCATCCTTTAGGCCTTGCCTAAACCTACTCAAGGTCATGACCTCATCCTCAACGACCTGACATCTCATTCGAAACTCATTAAACTGAGCAACGTATTCGATCACAGGTCGACTATCTTGCGTAAGTGCGTTCCATTGATCCAGCAAGTTTTCCCTGTAAGATTGAGGTAAATATTTTTCTTGAAGACGACGATTCATTTCATCCCAGCTCCCAACAGGGGGAGCATGACGCCTTTCCAGGAGGTCCTCAACACTTTCCCGAAAGAGTTGAGCAGTGCCAGTTAATTTCAAACTGGCAAATTGTACCCTCCGATCTTCAGAGACTCCATACCAGGCAAAGAAGCGATCCATATCTCTAACCCATTGATTGAATACACTAGGATCTAGACAACCATCAAATGTAGGGGTATCTAACTTAATGTTTCGAAAGAGGCGCTCCTCGTGGCGAGGGGGAGATAGTGTACCATGACGGTGATATTCCCGCTCTCGTCCACGAGCTTGATTTCCCTCCCGTCGATCATGTCTGGCGTGGTGTCGACCACCTTGTGGACAACGATGAGGTCTATTAATGGAAGCTTCAGAGTTTTTAGCTTCAGTCGAATATGGGGTTGGATCAGGAGTGTTTAACCTAGCGGTTTTAGGACTCTATGCTCCTCACGAGTAGCGGCTACCTTACTTTGGACAGCCGTTAATAGATTTTGTAATTGTGCCAACTGTCGGGTGAGGGCTTCAATTTAGGAAAGGTCCACGGCAAGGGTATTAGCACTAGAAGCAGTGATACGACCACTGCGCAATTGAATACACGGTAACACTAGCTAAGTGAGGTGCGCTATAGAGATCAATAAACAACGAGTGCCAACAGTAGATTAGCAATCCGAAATTCTATTATTATTATTATTTTTTTCTTTGAGTTTGTTAAAAAATGGAATTACGTAAGGTCCGATCTTAGCAAGCTAATAGTACTAATGCGAATAAAATAAAAAAGCAAAGGTACAAATGATAGGCCTAGTCACGTGGGGTGAATGGGTGAACAATGGAAGTCAGTTCGCGAATTCTGATCAAGTAGGATTAAAGCTAAAATTATCAAAATAGTAGCACCACAAAGAAATAATTGATGCAATTCTAAATAAAGCAGTAGTGTCAACTAAAAATAGATAAGAGCAATGACTCCCTGAGTTTAGTTGGCTCAGGTGGCTGTAATGGTTCTTTGCAATCGGTGGAGACAATTGGCAAATGAGACAATTAACTACTTGATTGATGAAGTCGACTGTTGTCTGCAATCTTCAAGAAAGTTGTTGAACAAAGTCCACAGATGCGAATATAAATTCCAATTCTTCAATCTTACTACCTCAAAATCAACCCATCTAGTGGTGCAATTGAGGCTTAGAGGCTGTAGTCGACGATGGGAGGCAGTTGTCGATGAATTCTTTATGGATTCGGGGAGGGTTAATAATTTGGGCTAGGTATTTGGGTTATGAGTCTGGGTAGTGGTTTTTGGATGTAATGTAGATTTTTGAAGTGGTGGTGGCTGACGGAAGTGGAGACGACAGCTGGGGTGGATTTGGCGACTAGACTTGCAGCGGGTATTGAGCAGCGACGACGGTGCGACTTGCAGTTCGATGGTTGCTGTAATGGCCGGTGCTGTTATGGTGGTGGAGGTGACTGGTGTGGCAATGAGATGTGGATTGGATGCAGATTTCAATGATTTAGAGGATTTGAGGCTTGAGAAAAAGTGATAGACGCCGACGTGGAGGGTAAGCGTCGTCGGCGTTAGAGGCGGAACGACAGGGAAGCCGAACGAAATTTGGGGCCGTTGGTTGTGAGAAGGGGTTCGAGTTATGAAAAGGTTTGGATTGAGATGACGGGTCGGGATGGTGGTGGAAGCGGGCTGAATAGTTTGGGTTGCTTTATGTGTGAAATGATTTGGTTATAGGGGCCAGTACGATATATGGATTGGTTACAGGTGGGCTGACTGAGTGATTCGGGTTTCGAGTTGGGTAATTTTAGTGAAGTGGGCTATAGGGTTTGGGTCAATTGAGATCTGACTGACTGTTGGGCTTGAGTTACGGGTTAATTAGTTGGAGATAAGAAAAATGAGCCCATCCAAGCATTGTATTGGGATTAGGGTAATGAACAGCAAAAATTGATTTAGAATGAATAGTAGAACAATTTCGAAACGACAGCAAGATGAATTTTTTTTTTGGTAATACTGTAGAAAAAATCTAAAAATTTGGAATTCGGGGTGAACAGTACCCGTCAACAGTAAACTTTTTTTTTGGCAACTAACAGAGAAGTGAAGGAAAAGAAACTACTGCTCTTACGTTAAATCGTTCTCAATTATGCTGTTCCAACAAATTTTTTGGGAAGGAGATGCGAAGAGATTTTGGATTGTAGGAAAGGAATTACCTTACATTTGGCTCTGATACCAAATTTGATGCAGCACCAACGGGACAATTAATTAAAAATTAGAATAGGTCTATAAGGAGAGGGAATTAAAGAGAAGAATGGGGAAGAAGGGGAAAAAGGAGATAGGAAGAAAGGAATTCGCCATAAGCTACCAAAATATTATTCAATCATCAATTAAAAATTACAAAGCAAAGTATGTTTAAATAGTAAAGTAAACCCTAACGAGATTGGGCCCGAGCCTATACAAGTCCAATTTTCTAAATAATAGTTCAAGAAAATAAACAAAGTTTAACTAGAAAATAAAATAAATAAATATTCGATGTCCTCATCAAAAGCACTTCAAACTTTGTCTTCGCGCACCTCTAGGGAAATTGATGATATGGACTTTTGATCTGCATTCCTAATAATTGGAGTCATCAAGCCCTGAAATCCATAGAGAATATAATGAGATCAATGTTGGGCAATTTCAATTATTCCAAGAATAAATTTACCAATCCAAGCAATTAACTAGAATGATAAACTATGCAAATAAATAATCAAAGAAAAAATAAGAAAACGCAACACCAAATTTTTACGTGAAAAAACCCTCCAATGTAGAGGGAAAAAAAAACCACGGGGCAACTCCGGCCAAAAATCCACTATAATAATTAATATAAGTTACAATATTCAAGTTTGTGCCCCCCAAAACTTGAATTCTCCACAAATTGAAATACCACAATAATTAATCTCTAAGACAATAATTTATCTCACCACAAATCACCAAATTGATTAACCTTGTGAGAACCCACTTTGAATACAAATCCAAAAATATATCTTAGAGAAATTTTCAATATATATAATGTAGAAAAGAAAAAGTAAACACGTGTGATATCACACCTCAAGAAGAAATTGAGCAACCACTTTATTTAATTAATCAATTTCCATCTTTTTCTTCTTTCCAGATTTTCTCGGCCTGCAGTCTTTCTCTCTGCAGCAATATGATTGCTTTTTTCTCAATGGAGCCACAAACTTTGACTTTTCTTTCTCACAATTGAAAGCCTTTTTCTCTCACAACTTGGAAGTCACAAGATTTTCTCTCTCTCTCTCTCTCTCTCTTTTCTTTCTTATGGCCACGGTTTTGGGAAGAATATATATATCCACCACTTTTGACCTAACAATAAAATAATATATTATCTTGGGCCAATCTTCATCATGGGCTGGACCAAGTTAGCCCATTTAACAATCTCCCCCTCCAGCCCACTGAGGAAGGAGATTATGCTCTAACAAATTAGTTAGAGTCGATGCCGGCCAGTCCGGCACAAAGTTCAAGCTTTTCTCTGGTTACAACCTTTGCCATCATATCAGCTGGATTCTTCTCTAACAATATCAACTGTTCTGCCACTATCTGTCGTAGCCAATGATATCTCACATCAATGTGCTTTATTCGAGAATGATAAGTAGCATTCATGCTCAAGTCTAATGCACTCTAACTATCACAATTAACTACATACACATCTTGCTTCAAACCCAAATCTTGGAAAAACCATTTCATCAAAAGCATTTCTTTCGCTGCTTCGATTGTTGCAATAAATTCGGCCTTAATTGTAGATAAGGCAACACACTTTTTGTAATTTGGACCGCCATGAGACAGCTCCTTTGCAAAAGTAATCAAATATCCTGAAGTTGATTTTCTACCATCCAGATCACCAGCCATATCTGCATCTGTAAAGCCCTCCAAAATAGGTTTTGAACCTACAAATGTCACACACATCTTAGAAGTACCTCTCAAGTATTTAAAGATCCATTTCACTACCTCTTAATGATCTTTACTGGGATTAACAAGAAACCTGCTAACTACCCCAACCGCATGAGCAATATCTGACCGTGTACAAATCATGACATACATCAAACTCCCAACTGCAGAGGAGTAAGGAATCTTTGCCATTCTTTCTTTATCTTCCTCCTTAGAAGGACAAGTTACCTTACTCAATTTGAAGTGACTACCAAGTGGTGTCCCAACAG